TCACTTTGGCAGACAGGGGCATACATTCACCAATTCTCCTAGACAGGGATTTTTTTATACGTGGCCTGTTTGCAGACACTTTCAAATCTTCCAGTGACAGAAGAGTGTAAATACTCGAGAAGCAACGGTAGAAAATAAACAGGGCTGCACAATTAATTGAGGAAGTGTCTAAATAGCCGTATTGACTGCTGCAGAGTTTAAGTTGCAATAGAAGGCTGGGTTTTTTTTGTTGAAAAGATGTTTCAGGCATCTTTCCTAAACAAAGTGGTCTGATGCATCGCAGAATGACTGCGCAACAAATCCCCACATATTAGCATTTCATTTGGTAAATGGTAAATTGTCCTGTACTTGTATAGCGCCTTTCTAGTCTTCCGACCACTGAAAGTGCTTTTACACTACATGCCACATTCACATATTCACTCAGTGATGACAAAGTCCATAAAATGGAAACTAACGCATTCACACACCGATGAACAGCATTGGGAGGAATTCAGGGTTCAGTATCTTGCTCAAGGATACTTTGACGTGTGGCGGGAGATGCCAGGGATCGAGCCAACAGCCTTCCGATTGGTGGACGACCCGCTCTGCCTCTGAGCCATTTCCCCCCCAACAGCATTTAAAACATAGTTTAGTTCAAGTTCTGAGGAATACATTATCAACAGAAAGCTGTTTCCATATGTATGGTAATTCAAAGTGTGTATGTACCATTCTGAAGATATATCTCGGTATGATTTCTAGTCACCCTCTTAGAGCCCTAGTCTATGAATAATTTCAACAGATTTTATATTGTGGTCTCACAGGGCCAAATTCCACTGTAGAGGGCTACAAACAATATGGGGTTCTGTTAGTAAAACCACTTCATGTTTTACCAGTCATTATTTGCCGAGAGATCCAGAAACTAACCATTCCTTCTGTAATCTCTATCTTTCTTTCTTTACAACCATGAGCAGATCAGGAAGAAGCTATTCATTACCGGCATTGCGTCTACAAGACCCCGCGCTTATTCTCAGATCATTTTTAAAAATCATAACAACTTTCAGTGGGACTAATAAGGCCGTGGTGGGGAAATTAAGACTTGAAATATGGAAACACCGTCTCTTTAACAACAAATGCAACGTCCAGAAAATACGTTGTGGTGGAAGTACAATGGACTCGTCTTGAACTCCTACAGTAGATAAGGAAATAGAGCTTCTTTTTGCATTACAGCGTTGATAATGACTCTTATGGTATGATTAGGTAATAATGTTTGCATAAGAATGTTCTCCCTCTTGTTTGGACGGACAAGTTTCCCAGAGAGAATGGATGCAGTTGCTACCATAGTGCAAAATCTCATACACACACCTTCACATTTAAATTAATATAGTATCTGTATGCTGTAACACTAAGGAATTCATCAAATAGCGCAGCTGCACAGGGAAACTGCTGAGCCAAAGGTTTGAGGCCATTCTGGGACCTTGACCAATCGGAAAAGATCAAACTAAATTGACCATATCATGTGAAGCTGCTAACTACTTTTACAGCTGTGGTTTTATGACTTTAGCTAGTTCTTATCCGATGCTGACCCAGTAGTTCATGTTCACAGGGGATTAGAGGAGTAATGTGCAAGCAAATATGCAAGTAATGCTATCTGTTCTCCCATGGGAATGGCCTGACATGGCCAGAGGTCAGCGATCCCCATCTCGGCCTCCTCTCAGACTATATCGACATATCGCCGCTCTCATCTGCTCCTCCGCTTTCTCTCTCTCATCCTCACCCTTTCATCGAAAATTGCACAAGAGGCTTGACTGAGCCGCTTGAAGAGGAGATAAAATGGTAGAAAGTAATCCTGTGGAAAGGAGAGAGATAAGGAGAGGAACAGTGAGGCAGAGCAGGAGATGACAAGATTCCCTCCCTTGTCTCTTTTTCCCATGTTAATTACAGCGTTTGTCCTCGTCTGGGATGGAGGGCCGCACGCTCGCTGCTACATTTGCGTGAATCATGGCTTGACGTCTCTGAGCGGAAGAAAAAAGGAAAGATTTTCATCAACAAAGAACTGCTGTTTGCTATGCGCTGTTACGCCTTAGTGGGCTTTGATGTGTCAGCGCATGAATAGGGAGGAGTGGAGAGCACAAAGAGAGGAGTAGGGGGGGCAAAATGAGGCCTTCTTCTCGAGCATAGATGTTCAAAATCCATCATGCCTTGTCAATTTACACATCCTTCAAAATGCTTTAAAGGACTGTTTGATATGAAGTGAAAAGGCGAATGATGTTTGAAAAAAGCGATATAGAAAGAGTGTTAAAAGGTGAAAGCAGATGTAACAACATGGAGGTGTGAAGTCAGCATCTGCATCAATGCTTTCAAAGAATTAAAGAAAGTGATAAAGTTCTAAAGTAAAGTTGAACTTCATTTTCTTCGCATTAAGAATGGCGAAAACTTTTTGTATTTTTTATCTTTTGAGGACAGGATATTAATTGTCCACATAAGATATTGTCATGTGGAATTAAGATATTATCCTTTGGGCACAAATCTTGTGTGAACAAGATCCAGGTGTTGTGCAAACAAGCTGTTATCTTCAACACATTAAAGCACCATTATGCAACCATTGTCCCTTTAAATAACAGCTTCACACTACACAAACTACACTGACTTTTAATAGTGTGTTTGTCATTTCCCCCTCTTTTGCCGTGAAATGCCTGTTCTTGCACTGTGTAACGTTGGTTGCCGGGTCGGGAGAAGTGTATAAGTAACCCTTTACGGCACAAAGTCACACACCACCAACTTCAGCAAATGCCTAATTTCTGTGATTTATGGAGTTTCCTGATGGCCAGCAAGCTTTATTTGTTGTTGCTGAAGTAGGTTAACCGCTAACTGTAACTCAGCTTCCATCAGCTAGTTTGCTCATTTAGTGGCGCTCAGAACACCGGGGGAGTGTAGGTTTTTTGGTTGTTGTTTTTTTTGTGTAGGTGTTTAAGTGAATTGCAATCCCAAACTGTAGGGGTGCCAAATTGTAAATACCAATTCTAACATAATGTTCCTTTAAAGCTCCAATGTATCATGTTTAGGTGGATCCACTGGCAGAAATGGAATATAATATTCATAGGTATGTTTTCATTAATCCCCTGAAAATAAGAATTGTTGGGTTTTAGTTACCTTAGAATGAGCTGTTTTTATCTACAGAGGGAGCAGGTCCTCTTCTACTGAGTCTGCCATGTTGAACCTCCAAGTTTCTACAGTAGCCCAGATGGGACAAACCAAACTAGATCTAGATAGGGCCTTTTGTGTTTTTCACAAGTTTCGCAGCCACTATAGCTTTACCTGGACACTTGAGACACTGAGGCAGGGAGTTTCAGTTGGTTGCAATCTGCAACTTCACCACTAGATGCCACTAATCCTACACACTGGTCCTTTAAGTTGCGGGTGCAATCTTGTGGGAACAAGAAACATATATTGTGTACACAAATCATCATCTGGTGGGGGCAAGATCCATATGGGTGCACAAGTTATTACCTCGTAGGAACACGATCCATACATTGTGCACACAAGTTTCAAGACTGTACATGACAGTCTCCAGATTTGTGTAAAACCAATCCAGCCTGTTGGATTAATTTAGCAATGCAGTGCATTGTTCCTGAATACTGGTAAGTAGTGTTTTTAATATACTCTCCATAGCAATACCCAAACTCACTATAAATTAAAAAAACGAACTGCCTAACCAACTGATACATGACTCATACAGTGTGTGTTTCTGTGGTAAATATTATTAAAAATGTGAATTCACAGTGGGAAAAACCCTTCCTTCCTATTGATTTTTCAAGGAAATAAAGACAGCGTATCATATTATGACCTGTATCCCCACATGACTATCCGATGGAGCTAACTGAGATAGTGAAACATAACTTTCACAGACGTCATTTAGAAAAAGCTCTGATTTTAAGGTCATGTGTTTGACTGTTTCCTTAGAGACTTCTTCATTACTGTTTTTGTATGCGGTCATCACATGAAAAGGTGTAAAAGATTGGTTTCCTGCCATGTTCTTGTAGCAAGCCATGCACATGATAAATTGCCCACTTGGAGACATGAGGAGTGACTTCAAAGAGAAATATGTACATACAAACCAGCTGTCTTCGTGTATAGCACTTGGAGTTATTTCAGCACTTAATGTCAGCAGCTCTCCCTCCCTCTCAGCCCTGGTCAGTGTAGCACTGAAAGGCCACACTTGTGAGTGGGATGGAGCGGTAAAGATGCAGGCCACAGTACAATCAATTTAGATTCCACGAGGAAACCGGGGCACTGCCCTGGAGGGGAATTCAGACCCAGAGGAAAAATAATCAAGAGGCACAGGGAAACATTCCTACCCTTCAGATGCAAAACCCCCTAGGCTTTTCTCCACCTTTTAATTCCTTCTCAGCCTCCTCCTTTCCCTCCCGCCATGGTCCACTTCATCACAAGCGTCATGGTGAATATGAAATATGCCTCAGATGAATGATTGCTGACTGGATCTGTGCATATTGAACACTCAATATCTGTAATATCCTCCAATATCATTATTTTCTTCTATACCCGTGGACTAATCTCTATCATAGCCTGTGGAGCGACTCAGATAGGGGGAAAAGATAGAGTCAATAAAGAGATGAGTATGATAATAAAGGCTGAGATTAATAACTCTCTCGAACTGTCTGTCTGCCTGTCTGCTATCTCTCTCCATCTCTTTCAATCCCTCTTTCTGCCTTGATTCAGTTTCATTCATTTTAGAGTGCTTTATTGGCACAGTAAGATTGTCCTTATACTGCCAAGAAATTATACAGTAACACATATGGCAAGAGGTGTAAAGACAACAAAAGACTATAGAGACAGGAAATAATTTTCTCACAAACCTCTGATCTGTAAAAATAATGTGTTAATATGCAAAAAAACAGGCTAGATTTTCATCTACAGATAGTTACCTCCTGAAAACCCTTTTGTTTAAATTTCAAGTCTCATTCTCTCCCCCACTCCCTCCTTCTCCATCTTTCCCTGACCAGCCCGAGTTGTCCGGAGCAGCCGTCCTCCACCAGGCCAGGAGGGATCAGGTAGTGGATGCCTGTCGAGTCTACAGTGCATCCAGCCGTAAGCGCAGAGTCCTGACACCCGGAGACCTCAAACACCTTGTGGTGGACGAGGACCATGAGCTCATCTACTGCTATGTTCCCAAGGTGGCCTGTACCAACTGGAAACGCGTCATGATGGTGCTCACAGGCCGGGGCAAATACAGGTGAGTCTTGTGCTTGGCAGACTGTTATTGTAAATGGGCTTAGAGAGTACTGGGGGCCATTCATTCCCCTTTTTATTGCTCTGTGACAAATAAGAAAAAATACAGGGCATGTATTGTATCGTGTAATACAGTATTCCAACATGCTGCCCTCATCACACTGAAGGTTTGTAATGGTAGAAGACTGTGAATGCAGATTTGTTTTGCTGTTGTTCCTCAACGTCCTTCTGCCTCTCTTCCACAGTGACCCAATGGAAATCCCTTCCAATGAAGCCCACATTCCTTCCAACCTGAAGACCTTGAACCAGTACAGTATTGCTGAGATCAACCACCGCCTCAAGAACTACCTCAAGTTTCTCTTTGTTCGCGAGCCCTTTGAGAGGCTGGTCTCCGCATACCGCAACAAGTTCACCCTCAAGTACAACTCGTCCTTCCATAAGCGCTTTGGCACCCGAATCATCCGGCGTTACCGCAAGAACGCCACGCAGGACGCCCTGCTCAACGGTGCTGACGTCAAATTCAAAGAATTCGCAGAGTACCTGGTGGACCCGGCCACGCAGCGTGATGGCCCACTCAACGAGCACTGGCAGACTGTCTACCAGCTTTGTCACCCATGTCACATCCACTATGACCTGGTTGGCAAGTACGAGACGCTGGAAGACGACGCAAACTACGTGTTGCGGCTGGTGGGTGTTGGCGATTCCTTGCGCTTCCCGAGCTATGCCAAGTCCACCCGTACCACAGACGCCATGACAGCCCAGTTCTTCAGCAATATCAGCACTCAGCAGCAGTTCCAACTCTACCAGCTTTACAAGTTGGACTTCCTCATGTTCAACTACTCCACACCCAGCTACCTCCGGCTGGACTAATGGAGGACAGAGCTGTGACTCTGAGAACGGCTGCCTTGTTCAAGGAGAGGCAAATTGAGTGAAAGGCGGAATTCTTTGGAAGCAAACTTGATTTAAAAAACTGTCATCGTACGCAGGCGTGGGGTCTGAAATAGACATATAAACAGGTGCTGAAAGAGAGAAAGGTGTGTGGATGTCCAGTCAACTCTGGGTGATACAGAGAGCGCTGATTGGATGAGAATGTGGGCTAAATGAACCAAACGCATGCAAAGACTAAAATGTGTAGGTGAAGCAGGTCTTCAAGGTGTTTTAAAAGGGGAACTTATCCTCAGAGGACAGACTTGAAGAGGGGATTCTCCTGATGATGTTCCCTACATACACAAACAAACTGCTGACGAATTAGGCTGCTTCAGATTCTACAAAGCAAACAGCGGCCTCGCACGTGCCCTGACCCCAATGCATCGTGGGAGCTAAGCTTATCTCCCCTACCCCTGATCAATAGAGAAACTCCGTCAAATTGTAAAACACAATTCATGTCCTTCGCTGCGCTGTCAGCACGGTGTGCCAGCACCCATCACCCTTGCCCTCATTAGATTTATACATTTCAGAGGGAAACTGGCTCATCACCGCCTCAAGGACGCCCTGTAATAGATGAATACTGACTTCACTCTCAAGACCTCTACAACTGTAACTGTGGTGACATGGCCTTCAGCGACAGGTTGTAATGAAACAAGTTTTCACTGGTCTCTACCATTATGATGTTAGCAGATGGGACCTCTTGTGTTACAACCTGCGGACCCCATGAAAACAGAGACTCCTGTTGCAGCAGTAAAGTGTGGAAGTGCTTAATAAATCATTGCCTGTAACACCAAGCATCCTTAACACTTTGAGCTACAGGACATGGTTAGAAAGGTACAGGATGCTCCCACGTGTGTGGGTGCACCAGAAGTCTGCACAGAAAGTCTGAGCGAGAAAGAAAAGAGACAGCCTTTGTGGTTGTGAAAGGGTTAAAGGCACTGGATCTCATAACCCCGCCCTGCTGTGCCCCACCGTGCCCAACCTAGGGGCTCAGTGGACACACCCAGGGCCACACCCACAAAGCTCCTACTCTGACGACCAAACGTGTTTCAGTAAATTAAGATTATCCTTTTTTTCTTCTTGCTTATTTTTGTTTTTAATGTCTCATGAAGCATTGCTGCGAGCAGCAATAGAAAAGGTTTATTTAATTTGTTTTGTTGATTAAAGAGAGAAAGATTTAATTTCTTTCCTGGGCTGCGGAACATTTTAGGAAGTTTTTCTTAAAGTTAAAATGTTGTTAAGAGTTTCTTTTTGTCATGTTGATTTCTTCTTGCCTCCAATACATTATTAGTGCATCACAGCATTTTCATTTTTAAAGGGTGTACGGTACATTTCAGCCCATGGCTTTGTCCTTCTGTGTCTGAGATCATCAGAGATTTATGGCTTAGTTTACATTTCCTGTTGTCAAACATTTGGTGCCAAAATGGCTGTGAGCGCCTCAGAGATCCACACTCTGTGTTCGGTGTAAATCTTTGCCCCCATACCCAACACTTCCCAAGCAGAACATAAGAACTAGCTGCTACTCTCAGTGTACATATCAACAATCTACTGCCCACGTCACAGCATCAGAGACTATATCTCATACTGTAATGTGATTAATGTTAGCCACGTTAAGCAATGTCAAGGTTAATAACTGCACTCTCCATCACGCTGTGAATTGGATTACAGTCTGTTGTGTTAGCATTATACCGAAGGGAGAGAGGGAGACAGAGAGTCATTTTGTCTTTTACACCCCTTTGTAAATTCAAAACCACTCCGGCTTCAAAGTGAAGGAGACATTTTTCTGAAAGGCAGCATCTCTTTGTTGCACTTGGCAGAAACCTGAAATCAGATTTTTGGTATGCATTTGTTCATGCTGTTCAGTACGTCTGTTAGATTGAGTCCCTAGTTTTAAAGGAAAATTCAGGTTTTATTCATGTAGTTTTGTCCATCATTCCTGCTGATAATGATAACATTTGACTCACCAGATTCAATGTAGAGAAATTGCTGATGCTGCAATACTGCAAGACAAGGCAGTAGGTTTGTGCTAATTTGATTAATTGTACCAACTAAAGTGCAGGATCAACTGACATGATGAGGGCCTTAAAGTGGGTCCTTAATCTTGAGGCCCTGACTTGGCCCTGTTATCTAGTGTTAAGTCCTATTGGCACAGACGCCAGCAATTGCCATGGGGCCCCAGAAACTTAGTGGTCCCTGAAAGCCCAAGGGTCACTGCTCACTGGGAATTGATTTATGGTGATGTACCACAAATCAGTTTAACTTTGTTTGGGGAATGTGGAAATATGCATTACTAAAGCACAATATAAACTGTACCCTGCCTCTCGCCCAGTGTCAGCTAGGACTGCAGCCCTGGCAAACCTCTAAAAAGAATAAACAGGTATAGCTAATGGGTGGATGATTGGATGATAAGGGCCTTAAAGTGGGTCTTGGTTTATTACCTTGAGACCCTGTCAAGTCAGGTTTATTTATATGGCCCAATATCACAAATATATCTCAAGGGGTTTTACAATCTGTATAACACACAGTATGAAACTATGTATCTGTAGACCCTTAGTTTGGAGAAGGAACAACTCCATAAAAAAGTAACAAAAACAAAACGAGGGAAAAACAGGACAGATATATACACATGTAGTATTGTGTAAATGTAATAAGTAAAAGAGGGGGCAGAATCTAGTTTTAAGATCTTCATTTTGTCAGCTGATGCTGACTTGGTGCATATCAACTACCTAAAGACACTTTTGGGTTACACTATGGGACATGCTGGATTCAGTGTTTAAGTAACTTGAGTTATACTAAAGACTAAAAGCCTCAAGTCTAAGTCTCAGGACTATTCCTTTCCTTTTAAATCTATTTACACAACAGTTTTTGGAAGTGCAATAATTAATAACTTGGGTGTCACATTTAAAGTCATTTTGTAAACATACAGTTTTGCAATGCATGTTTTTAATGGATCAGATCCAGGTCCACTTCACTATAACGTTGTGTCTAGTGGTGACCCCATGTCTTTAGAATGAAGCTGGTGAGTGAAATGTCAGCATAACAAAGGTGTGATGACCAAATCTTACATTATAAATAGACAGATATTTCATTTTTAGCTGCAAACCTCTTCCTGGAGCTTTTGAAGTATTATTACTGTACACATGTGGACATGTGCCTGTGTGTGTGGGTTATAATGAGAGAACAACCTTGTTTTTTTTTACCCGCACTCACACATCTGGCTCTAATAAAGGAGGAAAGCTACTGGCCTGGCCTGTAGCCCTGACCGTCGTCCTCCTAAAGAAACAATGGCTGTATTCTCAGCACGGCCTCCTCCTGGGACAAGGCATACAAAAATACACACACACTCAGCTTGCACATTAGCACTCCTGCTGATGCTGATGCCACGCAGCATCTTACTCAGCAGTTGTAAGCAGAGGCACAGGCGGGCAGCACCTCTCCCCTTAAACACACTGAGCCTCGGCTTAAACTGCTCATTTAACCCCCAGAATGGAAGACGGACGATACACAAAGGACTTCTTAGCCTGAAAACAAGCCATTACAGAGGCCTCTCTTTCTCCGCTCCCACCTCCAAGAGTGGCCTCCTGTATAAAAAAATAACAGAAGTAAGTCAGTGTCAATGATCCCTACCGTCCCTGCAGAATAAGGGAAGCCTACTTAAGCAAACAGAGTCGGTAAAAAAGTTCCTACGGGGATTTAAGCGAGCACCGAGAGGCCCTGGAAGATTTTCTGCCTTTAGAAAAAAACAAACAACTGCATTTGGAATACTTTTGTCCCTATTCTTAACTTCTCCGTCTGCATAAATCCAGGCCTGTTCACTGCCCAGCGTTCTCATACTGTAGGTGTGTTCATATTCAAGTCAAGCCAGCAGGTATATATTTATTTTGTTTTTGAACGATGTCTATTATCAGACTGAATTACTTATTTACTGTACTGCTGAAAGAACACAGGAAGGCTTCTAAACATATCTGAGGGAGGATTTCTCTCAAAGAGGAGTGGATTATGTGATTTGTGCTTACGCTTTATTTTGTTATTTACGCACAGATTAGCACACACATTTTATATCCAGTAAAGCATAGAGTCATAGCAGGTACATATCATTACCAATTAAAGGGATAGTTTGACAATTTAGGAAATGCGCTTCTTTGATACAACTGTCATATCTGTTACATATGGAGCCACAACCAGAAGATGGTTAGCTTAGCTGAGCATAAAGACTGGAGCAGCTAGCCTGGCTCTGACTAAGAGTCTACAGCCATGCTAGCAGCTCGGCGAGGTTACACTTACACACAGCAGGGATTTGGGCTATGCTAACGTCAGCATGCTAACAGGCTCACAGTGACCATGCTAAAATGCTGATGTGTAGCAGGTAAAATGTTTTAACATGTTCATGTTAGTTAATTGTGTTAGCATGCTTTGTTAGCATTTGTTAATCGGCACTATATATAAAAGTACAGCTGAGACTGATGGGAATATTTAGGAAGCTAAAGTATTTTTAAATTGAAGTTTTTATGTGATGAGGATAATGATAATGTTTATCTCATGTTTGTTAGTGGTAGTCTTTATGCTAACCAGCTGCTAGCTGTAGCTTCATATTTCACAGACAGACAGGAGCATGAGATAAATCTTCTAAAACAAAAATAAACAAAAATGGTTTCTATAGTTTTGGGGGTTTTCTTTTTGGTTAAAAAAAATACAATATTTGGAAATATGTCATCAGCACAGAGGGACAAAGCCTCTCTCATTCTCTGCCGGGTTCCTCTCTCACATATCTACAGTCCCAGTGCAGGATGTTCTCATACAGTGTAGACATGATGTCATTCATTCTGCTGTTGTTTTTGAGCTCTCATGCTTGATCGATCAATTACTCTACCTGTCTCACACACACACACACACACACACACACACACACACACACACACACACACACACACACACTACGTTTGTGCGGCAATCTTGTTTATCTGTGCCTTTCATTTGCAGCAACACAGAGCCGCTAAAAAAAGATTCAGATCACCTTCTCTCTGTGGTCACCTAGGCCTTCCTCCATACTGACACACACACACACACACACACACACACACACACACACACATACACAGTGACTATTCATTCCTTTGGTTGAGGACTGTCTGCCTATAGCCGCTTCTACACTGCATTATATGTTTGGGTTCAGATGTTGGATTTGCTGGATTACTTTACAGCACAAAAGAGGAATTCTTTTTATTTTTTTTACAGTGCAAACCTTTATTCTAGCTGCACTTGAGTTTTAACATTTCTGATAGGAGAAGCTGTTTTTAGCTCCCTTCCCCTTGCTCTTCTAAACAACCACACAACAGCAGAGAGAGCAGACAACCATCAGCACCCTTTGCCACAGGAAGCACCACAATCAGTTTTAATTTGAAGAACACCGAATGCAACACATTCAGTAACACCTGTAAGGGTGTGTTTTTTACTTGAAGACAACTCCATTCACACTCCTAAAATACACTTCTCACATGACAATCCCCCTCGCTGCAGTCAGCACACACACTGCTCCATGCACACACTGCAATATCACACAGTGAAGCACCTGCAGAGGCCCATGGGACTGCACCGAGACAGGCAGAGAGCAGAGGAAAGCTCCTGAGGCTCTCAGGTCATGTTCACACCAATGTGGATACATTTGAACCTCCTTTTTTTCTTGGGAATGTTCTCTGTTTTAGTGAAAATGGATCTTCACAGCAATGTTTTAGTGTAATTGTCATGTGATCCATTTTTAAAGCTCTCCTGACTTGCAGGCACCCCCTCTCTTTCTTTGCACTTGCTCTGTAAATAACAAAGAATGGTGTGGTAGAAATCACCTAAAGAAGCCTTCTTAAAATATATCATAAATACAACTTGGCTTTCATTTGCCAAATTTGGACATCAATGAAAGATAACACTTTACCAACCGCTGAGATATGGAAGTGTGGCTGCAATGTCACTAATAATCCCTCATTGTACAGAAACAATGCACAACTGTGGCAAGCACTGTAGGTCAAAGTTCAATCTCGAAATCCATTGGCTATCATTTACCGTCAATTTAGCCTCTGGGGGCAACGACACGTGTTTCGGCTTGAGCGTAGCCAGCAGATATACAGATAACACATATCTGGGCCCAGACTTTCTCTTCTGTGCACCAGTCATTGTTTACAATCCGATCAGAATGTGAGAATGAAGTTGGAGTTTTGAGATTTCTGCATATGAATGATGACACATTTTTAAAAAAAGCTAATAAATACTAAATTGTTGTCAGACGACAGCCAGTGTGTTCTAAGATTGCATTTCACCCAATGCATTCCGCCTCTTTTGCTCTTCACACGGACTGTTTACCTGCATACAACCAAAGGCCGCTCAAACGTGATTGGTCATTACTATTCAGACTACAAACGGACTACAAATGGAAACCAGAACAAAATCTTTCTTTGCCTCCAGATTCTGCATTCATGTGCAGATATATGTTTACAGAGATTCATTTACATAGTTTGGTTCCAAAACGCAGACCTTTGTTAACAGGGTTCTTTCTACAAAGCTAGCTATCTACCTAGGTACATTCATGGAAAATAATAACAATGCGTACAGTATCTTTTCATTCTTCATGAAAAATGTTAGTTATTCCTAGTAGCTACCACAGCTTCCCAACAATAACTGCCGAACATGAACACAATGTCCGATTGAAAAGGCCTACCTCTGGGTTTTAAATTCCACCTACCTGCACACCTGTTCCTTGTGAACTGAGGGTTTAGATTATCTAGCCTGACTGTTGGTTTGTTTTTGTTGTGTTACTCTTTTAGTTTTACCTCAGAGTGAAGTGCTTTAGATAACATGTCAGCTTGTTTAGAGCCTGTCTGAAATGATCCTCTTGCTTTATGTGATCTCTGCCATTTTTGAAAAGTCCTTGTTGTTTTCAGAGCAAGTTCCCAGTGGAACACATTTGACTCATTTTCTTTGATAAATTAGTGTGGGTGGAAGGCTTATTATCACATTTTGCCTGCATTTGTCAAATTTGTCCACATTAGCGTGGCTGTGGCCTCGGTGGGCCTGCCAGGTTTTACATGTCTCTGTGTTGCCCTGACATCTTGTTCGTCCTCCTTCAGTGTGCAGGGGTCACACACACCTTCTGATCTCCTGAGTGTTTCCAGCAGCTTCATGTCTTGCCAGATGGTGTGGATGTTGTGCTGTAACCTGTACAGTAATGTGTGTGTGTGACCTTTTGAGGAATGAGTCCCAAATCAGCTGTGTCTGTTACTGAATTTATACCATGTCAGCAGCATTTTTCACCGTTGTGTGTATCGGAGTGCCTCATGTGCTGTAACTACAGGTGGAGCGGCTGGATGAGAGCTGCATGAGTGTGTGTGGGTGGTGTGTGTGTGTGTGTGTGTGTGTGTGTGTGTGTCCTCGAGGAAGGCGAGACTCTCATTCAAACAGGCGCCACTTATTTATTTATTTATTCTCAGACAACGACCCATACTCCTTCCTCACTATCACCATGGCAACACACTTAAACTCTCTGCATCTTTCATTTCCTCCCGGGACAGCCACTCACTGTTCTGTCTTACTCCTTTCATTTTCAGGCGCACTCGCTGAAATCATGAATAATTGACTGTGTACTGTACACTGAGAGTGGTGTCGATCCGACAGCAGAACGACCTGCGGTTCATCTGTCCGATGTTTTCACAATAAAATAACACTGAAACTCCCAGTGCCTCCCACTGCTTATTTCATGTGTGGATGTCAATTATGTAACAGAACATATACCAACTGTACATCAGCACTTGAACACTCCATACAGAACAAGAATAAAGCCATGAATTCAGCTCACTTTCCATATTTGCCTTTGTGTTTCTGTTGGAATGGAAGATAACGGTGATCAAACTCAAGAGGTTATAATACAATTTACAGTTAGGGGAGGCCGGGGTTGTTTGGCACCGAGCTATTTTTCTGGTCTGTGCTCATCTACTATGTTAAAAAATTGGTCTGTGGAGTAAATGTATTATAACACCATGTTAGACATATGGGAATGTGTTCATTCTAGTTAATAGACATAGAAATCAACTACATTTTGATACAAGTCTGTGATGAGTGATGGTAGCTGGCTAACATAATTTCATCACAAAGTTTGGTCAAATGTGAGCAGGGTTGGCTGGCACTATGTTTTCTTTCAAACCAGTTTAATAGTTTTCTTGTTTATTAACTTGTAACTGTTAATATATATTTTTGTTGGGGTATTTTGAGAGACTATTTCTGAAAGATTAAAAACAATGTATTGACAGTTGTTAATAATTATTCATTTGAAGGGTCAAAGACGGTTAAAAGTAATGGCAACCCTACAGAGGAATTGAATAATAATGTTAAAAATAGGCAGATATTCTTTTAAATGTTCATGTTTTGTGGTTCTTGTTTGAATTAAAGGTTCAAATTGTCTCTATTTGTTGCTTCATTTTTTTAACATTGTGCTAACCAACTCTGAGTGACCCGTGACGGGGCTGGTTGGCACAAACCCACACAGTGATTTCAAAACACAATTTACTGCTTTACTGCTTTACTTAGAATATTCTGCCAGAGAAACATGACAGAGTGTGAAAAGTGTGCCAACCAGCCCCAGTGCGCACTACTATTGTTACACATACTGTAAGAAAAAAAACTTTTTGCACAAGTTCAAGCAGAGGGACAACAATCATTTTAAGTTCCACCTCTTAGTTATAATCCATTGCTATAACTTGGATTCATGCACAGGCTTTCCTGTCAGCCAGCTATCATCCTGGCTGAAGGATATTTTGTCTCTGCTTTCATACAACCAGTTAATACCCTGTCTGTGGCTCCCTATGGGGGACCTCTGAATGGCTGCTATTTATAGGGGTTAACCCTCATAAACTGATCTAACTGACAGGGTCTCATCATAAAATGAAGCATCTGCACACTTGATGTATTTTCTGATTGAAATTAAAGTGCCAGGGGATTGTGTTGGGTGCAAACACAGGCTGTGTCCAAAATGATTCTGTCACTCACTACACCCTAAATAACAGACACTCACTTGTTTACTCTATAACGAGCAGTAAACTGAGAACTCGTATTAATCATCGTCATTTAGTGTTATTACCGGTAGGTTTTTCATTTATAATATGTGCCACATTGCATTGTGGGATTGTTTGCAATAAGTATGAATATAGTTCTTTATATAGTAAATAGGCAGTTATTTTGGATACAAGCATACAGGTCATCATCATTAATTAACTATTATTTTAAAGCTGCACTGATTGACCTTATATCAAAACACAACAACAAGATATTATCATCTTACTAAAGTGACAGAAAACCAAAATAATGAGCTACTATGTGCGACACCTCGACACCTTTCACAATACACAGTCACTTGATCCATTGACAACATAAAAATATTGATTAATGCAGCTTCAAAGTGTAATTTTCTCACTTAAAACGTTTTTATTTTAATGAGACTTGGTGTGGTGATAACATACCACGAGCCATAAGTTTAAGAAATGTGGTTTGGTGTTCGGGTGAATTGACCCTTTAAAAATCCTTATATTTTTGTATGGTTCCACCTGACACTTCAGGACGAGATTTAGCTTACCTGAATTATGTTTTGGTAGTTTCCAAGTGTATTGGCACTGTCATATACTCACTATTTATTTTGGACTTAATGCACATCGTTCTTGCCCCAGAATGCATTACTAAGACAAAGTAAAGTGAGATTAGATGGTTTTTGCAACAAAAAGCATGAAAACAATCATCATCACTACCTAAACATGTCTGACCAACCTCTACATAATATTCTTCTATCATTCATACAGTATCAGGCCACTGTTGGGCAGATTTGGTATGATTTGTGGCCCACCATGTTCCTGCCTCTGATGCACCTGCTAGTTGTAAGCCACGGCTCATTAAAGCTGCAGCAGCTGTGTTTGTATCTCAGCCTACATCTCTGTCCATCTCCCAGCCAGCACAGCCTCGCTGCAAAGACCACCATCTCTCTCATTACGCCAACACTGTGCTGTTGCATTCAGCGCTTCCTTTAGACTGGCCCGCTTTAAAGAAAAGGCCCCGGGGCCAAAACTACCACATGAAAAATGCTAAAAAAAAAAAAAAAAGAGAGAGAGAAAGGCAGAGTAAGATTGCTCTCGTCTGTGAGCACCACAGTTTGGAGTGCTATTGGTAAAATATACAACCCACTGACTGACCTTCCCCAACCTCCACACACACAAACTCTGTGTCATACTGTAGGGACTGCAGGCCAAACTTAACCCTTCAACACACAGACTTTTTTATGGCACTTTACTGGACTGTTTACAGTGCAGAGAGACTTGAGAGATGAAATGGTGAAATGCGTCCAAGCCCCTAGGCCAGCTGTGGACTCTGAATGCTGTGGTTATTTACTGAATGTCTCTGGGCCAATTTGGATTCTACTCTGAGGAGTGATTTGGCAAGAAAAGATTTTGAGTTAAAATAATGCAAGTCCTTGAAAATAATCACATATGAATGTAGAAGCTTATACCTATGAAACGTACAGTATCTATCCAGTATTAACAACCAGTGACATGACATTTGCAACTGTAAATAATGTTTATCTAAACGTATCCTTCATTTTAAAAAATGCTTAATTTTGGGAAATTTGTGGTTTTACAGGGAGTTATTTCTTGGCTGCAAACAGTCACTTCCTAATTAACACTTGATTTTCTTTTTCAGTGTAAACACTTCCTCCCACGGTACGAAAGTGAAGGAAAAATGTTCGGATACTGCGCAAAGAAGTTGCATATTGAGGTCAAGCCCAAATCATGACATGAAAGCCCCTTTTTTATAGCATCAAATAACGAACTAAAACCAAACTTATCAGAAAAAGGAACACTTCATCAGTGTGTGAGAACCAGGCCACCTACAATGACAGAAACCATCCTAAATGTATTTAACTTCATCAGAAGAGTAATAAATAAACTTCCTAAACAGTTAAACACTTTCAGGCTCAGTTTAGACCTTAGACCAGCAGCCATTTCTCATGGTTGTGGCTCAGGTGGGGAAGCGGAGCTGTTCATTAATCACAGGGGACGGTGGTTCAGTTCTTGGCTCCTTCAGCCCACCTGTCGAAGTGTCCTTGAGCAAGACACGGACACTGATAAATGCAGTTCGTTAACCGTGATGTTTCAGTCCAAAATAGAACCTGTGACGACATCTTTTTACATCTGTTGTTCTATTCCAGCACTGCATGCGTCCAGCTGTAAACAACACACACTGAAATGATAGCGTGATGTTGTTTTGATGGCAGACCGAGTGCAACCACCTGCCTGTAACCCCCACCCCTTCAGCAACCACACATTTAGACACACACACACAATTGGCAATCTTCCTCCTCCTGGCTGACCTTGTGGTCCCATCTCTGAAATACACATTGCCCTTCCCACCCTCTCCAACTACACACCCTATCATTAGAGGGAGGCCAACAGCAACTGGTGAGTGTGTGTGTGTGGTGTGTGTCAGTGGAAAAAGCAGAAAAGCAGCTTCATAGCCCAACCAAGAAAAAGCGAAAGAGAGGCAGGCAGGTTCCCTAAACAAGCAGTGTGCTCCCGGTCTCCTCTGAAACACTATTGTCATGTTTTGATGACAAAACAGAGGCTGAGCCAGGCACAGTGGCAAACGGCCTCATTATCTCTGTAATGTCCACAGTAATATTACTGGTGGGACCACACTCTGCAGAAAGAGAAAGACAATTTCCAACAAATACCTGAAATTAAACTATGGCTGCACAATTTGAAATATATTTGAAATTCTAATATGCAAATCACAGAAGCTGCAAATTTTTGATAAAGGTAAAATGTGTTAAAACAGCATAACCAAGTACTGTAGTGCTGCAGAGACTCCCTGAACTACAAATTCAGATTTAAGAAAACATGTTTGTTTGGTACAGACCCCCAACAGATTTCATGTCATCACAGTAATTTTTTCAGTGAAAATTTCATTTGTGATGCAAAAATGATCATTTCCATACTAATCCTGAATCATATTGCAATATCTGTAGAAATAAATGCAATGTGATGTTTTTACCATATCATACAGCCCTAAATTAAAGCTGCAGTGGGTGACTAAAAGTAACTTTTGACATGGCTTTCTGGCTGAAACTTTTACTATATCCTGACAGTAGTACATGAGACAGATTATCTGTGAAAAAAAAATCTGGTTCCTCTGGCTCCTCCCAGTCAGAGCCAAGAAAGCTGGGCTTTACCTGGTCACACAGTGCGCTGTCTAGTGCTCTGTCGTTCATCGCCACCGGCTAATGTTATCCATAACTTAAGTACATTACTTAAGTTAACTTGAGTAAGTTACTTAAAAGAAATTGTTAGGAACTGTTTTGGTTTCACACAGGATACAAACAGCAGTCTCTAGGGTTGAAGTCCTGTGAGTCCCTCGAGCCATCCAGCCACCCAACCACCTCCTCATGTGGACTTTTGTTTGCTGTAATTGCTCATCCTGTACAAGAGAAGAGCTTTCCCTAATGTGCTTTGGTAAGTATTCTAAGTGATTGAGGACAAAATCCACAGTGTTTGTTGTGTGCATAAATGTATTTGAAAGTTTATCTGAAGATAATTTGAGGCTTCAGCAGTCAGACAAATCAAGTGGGTGTCTTCCGAAGACACAGTCTTTTTAGTTTAAAATTCCCTCTTTGTCTTTCCCAAGACAGTGTTTCCCTGTTGAGCTGGAGTGAAGTGATACTAACAAAAAGAGAATTTTGAACTAAAAAGACTGGAACTTTAAAAGATATCTACTTGATTTGACTCACTAAGGCTGCTGATGCCTCATATTAGCTTGACATTTATGCACAAAACGAGGCCTGTGGATTTTGCAGTGATCTCTTTACAGTCAGTATGAACACTATAAGTAAGGCACTAAGGGTGTCTAAAAAAAGACCTTTTTCACTGAGAGACGCTTTTACTGAAGAACTGAGAGAACTTTACTGAGATGTCATCAAATTTTTTATGTTTTATAAACTCTAGATTCAGTGTATGGACAGTGTCACTTGTTAGGTATTATATTGGCATGTAATATGTTTTGATCAGTGTATTCCAATGTTTTTGGGGCTTTTTTGCCTTTATTAGATAGGAGAGCTAAAGATGGATAGGAAAGGGGAAGAGAGAGGGAGGACAACACGCAGCAAAGGGCCACTTCTCTCAGACTGATGTCACAAACTGGGCCATACGGCCATGACAAAAGGAGGGAGACGCACACAACAAAGCCAATTAACAAATTATTTATTGAGGAAAGAATATTTAAACTAAACTAACACAACTAGTATGTGAAATCAGTTGGATCAGTGGTGTAAGTGAGTGCATGAGTGGAGAAGTGTATGAGTGCTGTGTTGTAGTAAGATGCAGCAACACAATCAAACCATCAAACCCAAAAACCAGATAGTTGTCTCA